TTAAATCTCTTTGGGCCTCAATTATATCCTATTTATAAAATGGGGATAATAATAAAGCCTACTTCTTAACATGGTTGTGAGGATTAGAGAAGTCCCAGTACATGTTAGCTACTTACATCACTCAGCCAAGAGCTTCTTGATGGCAGGGGCTGTGTGTCCTTCATCTCTCTTCCCCAGACCCAAGCACAGTGTCAGACACAGTCAGCTCTTGATGCATATTTTTGAGTATACGAGCACATGATTGAAGGAGTAACTAGTGAATTATATCTGATGTGGAAGCTGGCTGGATTCATCTTTCCTATGTGCCTTTAATGAGTTTGCTTTTCCAGATGAATAAGTGAACTTCAAACTATGGCTGCAATTCATTTTCTCTCCCCTAATCTCGCTGATGTCAGATTCCAAGGAAGTAATTGTAGCTCTAGTGTGTCTGCACTCAATTCAGAAATCTAAATATTATATTAGGATCCCCGTCTTTTTCCACTCATGTCATTGAAGTGATCTAGATATATTTTTATTTGAAAGAGGCCACTGGTAATGTATGTGTGCATGTATGTTGGTGAAAGGCAAGTGGAGTAGCATCCTCTAACCTTCTAAGAGACAACCTGAATTGATTCTCTTCCCAGAGAATTCTAGTGAAAGAAAATGCCTATTCTCTGATCACTGACAACGTGTGTGCTCTCCTTTGCCATCATTCTCTAGTCTTCCAGCACAAGCAGGTAGGTAATAGCACTCAATCTCATTTATCTTACTGTTCTCAGGGCTCCACAAATGGATGAGAAATATTCCATTAGAGACCTTACACAAAGATCTTTGTTTTTTTCCCGCTGAAATCTATTAAGGTGGACTCCTGATATGCTAAAGTGGGCCCAGGAGAAGCATAGTTCAGTCTCTAATTGTACCTTGTGTAGTTGAAAATGTACATCAAACTGAATTCCCACTTTTGAGAATTTACTCATTAGTCTCCTCACCCCTGAGTCTGCCTATCTATTATGGGAATAACAGGAGAAAGTTCTTATTTTGTGCAGGTAAACTTGCTGCTCGAGCACAGAATAGACCCAACTTATGAGTTTCAACTAGCTTGGTGGTAGGAGTTTAGGATACTGTCTTTCATCCTATGATCACTTTTTGATGGTGTATCTTTTCTGAGTAACTAGAATTTACTATTTTATACATAATTGAGGAAGCTGTATTAGGAAGCCAGATGTGAGAGAGGTCTTTAAGTTTATCTGACTAAGTCACTTATTTTGCAGATGGGAATTGGGGCATAAAGAGTATTACGCATTGAATTCTCTCCTCCAGAAGGATATACTGAAGTCCTAACCCCTGTACCTCTGAATATGGCTTTATTTGGAAGTACGGTCTTTGAAGATGTTATCAGCTAACATGAGGTTATACTGGAGTAGAGTAAGTCCTAAACCCATCTTCCCATAGAGAAGAGACAGAGAGAGGAAAGAAGGCCAGGCGAAGATGAAGTTACACAGCAAAGAATGGCTGGAGCAACCAGAAGCTGCGAAAGACAAGGAAGGACATTCCCTTACAGATTTCAGAGAAAACAGCCCTGCAAACACCCTCAATTTGGACTACTGGCTTCCAGAATCGTGAGACAATGAATTTCTGTTCTTAGAAGCCACCCAATTTGTGGAACTTTGTCACGGCAGCCCCAGGAAACTAATATAAAGAGGTTTATAAGGACATGGTCAACACCACTAGTGCTACAGCAGTGGCACTAGAATAAAGACACTCCCTATTTCATTTAAACTTTGTGGCTTGTATATATTTCAACTACCCCATGTAAATTACTACATTTGAATTATTTATTTCCCTGACGTCTCCCTACCCTCACTCCAATAGTAATAGATGAAGGGTTCCATGGGGGAAAGATCTGTACCTATTATTCTGAGTGCGTGGGGCCCAAAACAGTGATTATTTGGCCCACAACCTATGCAGCAATCCTTCTTTGATTATCCCTTGGCCGGATTCATCTATTTTTTAATTCATTAATTCTAGATAGGTATTGAGCGCATCTTATGTCTAAGCTGTTACAATAAATGATAGGGATATTAAAGGGAGACATGGACCATGATCTCAGGGAACATCTAGCTCAACTGGCATAACACAGTTTATAAAGACCATGTTCTACATTCTACCTTGGTGAGTAGCGTCTGGGGTCTTAAAAGCCTGTGAGCAGCCATCTAAGATACTCCACT